GTAGGAAATTTAATATTTTGGATTGTAAGCACCAGTCTCTCATTCCGAGCATAATTTCACCTTGAATTCCAAATCAAGTCTAATTTATTCTAATGAATTGTAGTATTTACCAAGTGGTAAGACAAGAGCCTTGAATTTTTTTGCTTGAATATTTCATCTGCAAACTTACATAGTTTGATTAGATTTGAAATGAGGCTTTGAGGCTGATCTTTTTGTATATAGGTGCCAAACTGCAATTATGTATAACAGTATATGGTTTGTCTAAGATTAATTATATACTTGGTATACCAACATTTATAGTTGGTCTATATTTCTGATATGTTGTTAATAATGTTAATCTACATCTGTTGATGAGTCAGTCTTCAATTCAATTACGCTAAAAAAGCACTGTTCCCTAACATAATAATAAGTGGCAACTAATAAATAGGCATGTCTCTTGTAGTTGGTACTACAGCTATTATAATAAATCATTCTAAGAAAGAATAGTCCATGGACTGAAGATTGATCATAGTGGCAAAGGCCATAGAGCAGAGAGTTTTCAATCTCTTCCTTAAGTTTGATTTTGAGTCTATAAGTAGACCAGCAAACTCAGCAAAGTATCATGGATACCAGCATTATTATTTATAAGATATTGGTTTAAATTTCAGCCCCTTGGGCCCTCAAGCAAATGAGGACATAAAAATGAACTGATTCTGGAAAAATCTCTGGTTTGCCTGGGAGGCTATGACTTTGCCACTGGTTAGTCAATTGGTTAGTCACAACTTTATATGTATAAGGTGAAGTATGGGATACACAATAAAGTGGAAAATAACTTTAAAAAGTGCTCTTCCAATTTCTTTTTTCAGCTATATTTCACTGTTATTTATGAATGAAGATGGATCTTGAGGATACTAAAACTTTTGTTGGTATTTATTTCAATAAAGAAGATTGGCAAGTTGTTCCCAGAATTTGGTTGTTTGAGGAAAATGCCAGAATTTACACCTATTGGCCTGATGTCGGTGATGTTGGCACGTTGGCTAGGCTGTGCACTCCTGTGCAGAAGACCTGGCGTTCTTATCCAGTGCAGAAAATTGTTGCAACTTCAGGTAAGCCGCCGTATACCTGTACTCTAATTGGTACAGCTTATTTCTGCCATTGAATTACTACATTTTTTCCACTTGTGAATCAATTTTCTATAGAAATATTGTTGGAATTTTATGCTGAAAAAGTATAAGAATGAATTATAATTGATTAAATTCATTAAAAATTATTAATTGATTTCATTTAGCCAAAAGTTGATAACTCTAGTTCTGCTTTGTAATTACAACCATTTTTAACAAATGATAATGTCACAAATACAAAAGTCTTCTATTTTTGTTAACTTTGGGTGACAGAAACAATGAAGGGAGTACATGTTTTTGTTCATTTGATATCTGTCTCAGTGACACAGCCTGATCTGTGGTTACTTGTATAATTTAAAATGTCTAATATGAAATTAATGGTATAATGAAAGAAATTGTCAGCAGCCAAGTTGAATAAAATTTCTAATTACAATTCTAAGAATGAGGATAATTTCTGGGTTGAAAATAGTTTATTTAGTTATAATGAGGCAAATTTTGTTGTAATTTTATTATAGAGGACTACAAACGAACTGAACACAAGGTGCTGTGTGGCCACATGAGCCAGAGGCAGTCTTCAGAGATTGAAGTGGGTTCCCGCAAACATAAGAAAGGTAAGATCTGTATATGTCAACATGTTCATGAATTGCTAAATTCCTTACTATATCATAAGTTTACTTATATTGCATGTTAACCAAGAAGTTAAATGAGAAGAAACATCCAGTCAATTTACCATATTTTTATTTAAAGTAGTACCTATTGTTGATCAAATATAGATAATCTCTTAAGTGTTTTTCAAACTGTGATAAAAGCCTTATTATGCTGTATTGATGAGTTAATTATGAACAAATGGGTTTGTTAGTGTATGTTGCTCCTTGAAGTTGCTTACCATATGTCATTATTTTAGCACTTATTGGATGAAACTCTGACATTGTATAATAATCTACAGTTGCCAAACCTGGCATAAATTAATTGCCTTCCAGAGTTTAAAAAGCTTTTCTGAGGGGTCATTAGGAGTGAAATATATGGCATTATAATTTATTAAATAATATTGTAGAAAGCATTAACAAGCAGAAGAATGTGCGTTTTGTGATGCTTGTTTGAGTAACAAGGTATAAAAATTGACTTGTGTAATCAAAGAAGAAATGTACGTATGTCAATTACGGTATCTACAGTCAAACTTCAGAATGGAAATGAATAGCATTTGAAATTATCCCATCTGTGTTTAAACTGGTTATTCATTTTTATTATTCATTTTAAGGGTAGAATTTCCTGTTATACTCTTGTTTTAAGCCTTCTTGAATCCTATTAGGGCCCATCATATGTACTAGTATCCATGAACGTCCATATTATAAATATACATTATATATACGTACTATTATATATTATATTAATCTATTACTACTGTATTATATGTTTTACTAAGCTATAATACTTAGTCTATGATAGTACATAGTACATATTGTTAAATAGGTATGTTACATAATAGAACATATAGGTAGTAGTTAAATGTAATCCAAAATGACTTTAGTCCAGTAAAATATCTGCCTTTGAGAAATGTGTCATCAATTCTAAATATCTCTCATATATTTATACGCAAAACACGTCAATAATATGTTTATAATTACAGCCATTATTTTGAAAACGTAATATTATGGGATCAAAGACCGATTTTATGTTACATAGCTGTATTCAAATCAATTGTGATACTAATCAATTGTCTATCGGTAGGTATTAGAATTATGTTAAATGAGTTTGTGTCTTTTGGTCATGCTTTGAACATGCAATTAGTAACGAATTTTTTAATTTCTATTGTTATGGATTCCAATTAATTCAATTTATACCTATTTTGTTCTTGTATTTTTAGAACACTCTTTGCTTTGTTTTCCTTTATCGAGGAGACCGCAACTGACTTCACTTATTACGGGATAGTTGATTTTATTTGCTTCAACTAAACAAGCTAATAAGGAAGCTAGGCTTGAAATTCGTGTAAAAAATACTCATTGAGCCGGTTTATTTGAAAGACAATCATGATTTTGATGGATTAATTATTCAATTATTTATTTATATGAATTTTCATGTTATTTAAGTATTCGCCTGATGTAAGTTGGAACATTTTTCTCCTGTGAAGCTCGTCTGGACAGCAGCCATGTGTCCCGACCCCGCGACAGCGACTCCAGCGACGAATATCACTCGGCCAGAATAAAAGTCTCGGGTGAGTGGTAGGAGCGAAACCTTAGAAAAATAACAGGTCGCATTGATACCCCTCTTTAGCCCTGCCAAACTGGGTAAAGATGACCCACACAGAAGCGAAAAGTGCATCGCTATTTAGAACAAGACTCCTCATTTTTCTGTTTGTTGTACATTTCAATCTTAATTTGGCGTTATTAAAACATGAATTTTTTTTCAATTTCCAATTTATTTGCTTAAATCGTATATTATTGATGTATGTGTTGCACAAAACTTGTTTACTTGGTGAGGTGACCGGGTGGTTGAGAACAGCAAAACTGGACCAGTGAGTTATGGGTTCGAGACCCGCTAGGAACCATGAAATTTCTCGTCAAGACCGGCGAGGTGACCGGGCGGTTAAGCACAGTAAGATTGGATTATCAAGTTGCGTGTTCGAGACCTGCAGCAAGCTGTGGAAATTCCATGTGGTTCGGAATCAGTATCATGTCCCAATTTTCGACACTGATACTGTAATTAATATTAGATGGCAGGATTTACTTGTTTATACACGTCCGTTTGATGACGAGAGAATTAGTTGATTTATATTATTGGTGGGTGGAATTTTTCTTCAGATGACGGTAGATTAAAAAGGCAAGTTTTTTAATCTACCGTCATCTGAAGAAAAGTTCCACTCGCTGATAATATAAATCAACGAATTCTCTGGTCATCAATCGCACGTGATACTGTTATCTATATAAAGGGATAAGGTATACTGTTATCTATATAAAGGGATAAGGTATACTGTTATCTATATAAAGGGATAAGGTATACTGTTATCTATATAAAGGAATAAGGTATACTGTTATCTATATAAAGGGATAAGGGATACTGTTACCTATATAAAGGGATAAGGGATACTGTTACCTATATAAAGGGATAAGGGATACTGTTACCTATATAAAGGGATAAGGTATACTGTTACCTATATAAAGGGATAAGGGATACTGTTACCTATATAAAGGGATAAGTATTTTTTGATGTCACTCGACTTCGACATCAATATATACTTATATATTTTGTTTCCTTCCACCCTAACAATTATATATTTTGTTTCCTTCTACCCTGCCCACCCAGCCAGAGCGCGTATCATGGCTCGGCGACGCAAGCAGCGGCGCTTCAAACTTCCAGGCCTGCTGGACCGCGGATCTTTTAGTCCAGTGATACTGTTATCTATATAAAGGGGTATAAATACTTATATATTTTGTTTTTTCTCTACCCTGCCAACCCAGCCAGAGCGCGTATCATGGCTCGGCGTCGCAAGCAGCGGCGCTTCAAACTTCCAGGCCCGCTGGACCGCAGATCTTCTAGTCCAGACCTGCCATCGTTCCCGCGTGAGTACGAGAAGACCTTGTGAATGATGAATAATAGGTGAATGCTTGTTGAATTCAAGGATAGTTTGTGGCTAAAATGTTGTAGATGAATAAATAAATGCCTGTTGGCGAAAGGATCTTCTAGTCCAGACCTGCCGTCGTTCCCGCGTGAGTACGAGAAGCAGACTTTGTGAATTATGCATAATAGGTTAATACTTGTTGAATTCAAGGGTAGTTAGTGGCTAAAATATTGTAGATGAATAAATAAATGCCTGTTGACGAAAGGATCTTCTAGTCCAGACCTGCTATCGTTCCCGCGTGAGTATGAGAAGAAGACCTTGTGAATAATGAATAGGTTAATACTTGTTGAATTCAAGGGTAGTTAGTGGCTGAAATGTTGTAGATGAATAAATAAATGCCTGTTGAACGAAAGGGAATTTTGCTACTGAAGATAAGTCATAGCAGAGCTTAGTAGATTATGTAGTCCTCCCACTCTACATCTACATCGCTGGCGTGCTATGCTGGTTTTTCTGAAATATTCATGTCGCATTTTTTGTTACATTGCATAGAAGAAAATTCGAATTCTTTCGGAATAAAATTCTTCTTTTTAAAAAAATTATATCCTATTGAAAATATGATATATATGAGACTACAAGGACTCCCATCGATCGTTCAAAAAATTATTATTTCGAAATGTTTTTTTCGCACCTTCAAAAAATTTGATTATAAACTATTTTTCTTCGTGAATAATATGAAGCATGTGAATCAATTGTTTAGATAGCATCGTTTGTTACATCAGACCCATCGCAGCTGATGCATCTGCCCGGCAAGATCAATCGTAAATCTCCTGAATTTGGCCAAACCCCGTAAGTGAGCTCATTATTAGCGCATTTTCTCATTTATAGAAAAATGCACTATTGTGCTCGCCATGTCTGTCTGTCCGTCCGTCTGTCCGTCTGTCTGTCTGTATGTTCGTCTGTCCGTCCGTCCGTCCGTCTGTCTGTCCGTCCGTCTGTCTGTCTGTCCGTCCGTCCGTCCGTGACCTCACGTTTTCGTCGACGAGAAAATGCGCTCTCTGTCACTCACTGCAGTGAGTACTGAGTTATATTTTTTTGTCATGTGTGGGAGAAGACTCAGAAAAATAATTGAGACATTGTCCAAATAGCTGTACATTTTTTGCCCATGTTTAGGTTATCCTGACTAAGTTTGGAAAGAAAATGGGCGTATCATAGATACGATCGATCTCTACTCATGCTGTAATATTCAGGGGTCATTATTTCGGCAATATATTGCACAAATAGTTTAGTTTTGTTCTATTAATTTAGAACTAATAATTTTGAACTAGTGATTAACTGACATCTTGAATTATTATTTTTGTGTTTTGTCTATTTTTTTACCTTTTAAGAACCGCGTTTTCACTTTACATGACTATAAACTTAACAATAACTTTGAAAAATTCGTGATAATATTCGAAATTGAAAGTTCTAGTATGTTGTAACAATATATTTTTGCGTAAGCTCGCGGTCGTTGATCGAAGAAGATTCACCAACTAAAGCCTGGCCCTCGACTTCGACATCAAACTCAACCCTCAGCCACCGTCTTGATATATTGGAAGCTAACCAGAAAATTATACTGAAGAAACTGGACAAAATTCTTAAAAGTACTACTGAGACCAATGCCAGAGTGAAATGCTTTAGAAAACCACAAACAATTACTGTTTCTGGCAAACCTTTACCGTCGTTTGATCCGGCGACCACGCTCGAAGAATTGGAGGAAATTCTAGCCATGGATAACATTGTAAGTAAAGTAAAGATCTTTATGTCGAGTGATGAATGTAGGCAATTCGCAGGCTGGTCTTCACTCTTCAGAAACTTGCATGTAAACTATATTTGAATGTACCGGTATCTTATTCATAATCTTGACTTTGGTATGCGTTTGATTGTATATAAAGGCTGTTTTATCCGTCGATGCAATGCTTTCAAATGATTTGAAATTGATCAATCGTTCAGTTTACGGGATCATCCGCTCTACAGGATCTTATACGGTCAGTTTACGGGATCATCCTCTACAGGATCTTATACGGTCAGTTTACGGGATCATCTGCTCTACAGGATCTTATACGGTCAGTTTATGGGATCATCCGCTCTATAGGATCTTATACGGTCAGTTTACGGGATCATCCGCTCTACAGGGTCTTATACGGTCAGTTTACGGGATCATCCGCTCTACAGGATCTTATACGGTCAGTTTACGGGATCATCCGCTCTACAGGATCTTATACGGTCAGTTTACGGGATCATCCGCTCTACAGGATCTTATACGGTCAGTTTACGGGATCATCCGCTCTACAGGATCTTATACGGTCAGTTTACGGGATCATCCGCTCTACAGGATCTTATACGGTCAGTTTACGGGATCATCCGCTCTACAGGATCTTATACGGTCAGTTTACGGGATCATCCGCTCTACAGGATCTTATACGGTCAGTTTACGGGATCATCCGCTCTACAGGATCTTATACGGTCAGTTTACGGGATCATCCGCTCTACAGGATCTTATACGGTCAGTTTACGGGATCATCCGCTCTACAGGATCTTATACGGTCAGTTTACGGGATCATCCGCTCTACAGGATCTTATACGGTCAGTTTACGGGATCATCCGCTCTACAGGATCTTATACGGTCAGTTTACGGGATCATCCGCTCTACAGGATCTTATACGGTCAGTTTACGGGATCATCCGCTCTACAGGATCTTATACGGTCAGTTTACGGGATCATCCGCTCTACAGGATCTTATACGGTCAGTTTACGGGATCATCCGCTCTACAGGATCTTATACGGTCAGTTTACGGGATCATCCGCTCTACAGGATCTTATACGGTCAGTTTACGGGATCATCCGCTCTACAGGATCTTATACGGTCAGTTTACGGGATCATCCGCTCTACAGGATCTTATACGGTCAGTTTACGGAGTGTGTGTGTTTACAGATGTGCATTATTGCCGATGAGCTAAGGAATCGAGCGATGTGTTCAAAGCGAAAGATACAGTGCATTCCACCCCCACCGGTCAAATAATGCTTATATAATTATGCAATTTTAATATCTTGTTGTCTATGCACGGCTCTAAAAGATGCAAGGAACTTTGAAATTTCAAATAATGAGGCTGATCTCGCATTTTGTATTGTTCATAATATAATGAAACCTGATAGTACGCTTAATTTTTGTACATCGAAATTTTATTATACATCTCTCTCACTGTACCGAATTATGATATCATTTGATATCACTCACGGTTCGGTCCCTCACATCGCTCTATGTTGTGTTTATAATTTGAAACAATAGAAGCCTTTTGCAATTACAATTTAATTAGTCATCGATCACACTGTTCCCTTAATAACTATTATAACTCAATTGTTGCACGTTGAACCTCCCAGACACCCTGGAACAGACCATAAGTCTTCTGGAATTATAATATCAATTGATATCACTCACGGTTCAGTTCACGACTTCGCTCTTTGCTTAGTTTATAATTTGAAACAATACGCTGAAGCCTTTCTCAATTACAATTTAACGAGTCATCGATTACACTGTTCCGTTAATAACTACTATAATCAATATTTGCACGTTGAACCTCGCAGACACCCTGGGACAGACCACAAGTCTTCTGGAATTATATCATTGGAAATCACTCACGGTTCAGTTAAAAACAGCGCTCTTTGTTGTGTTTATAATTTGAAACAATAGAAGCCTTTTGCAATTACAATTTAATTAGTCATCGATCACACTGTTCCGTTAATAACTACCATAACTCGAACGTTGCTTATTGAACCTCGCAGACACCCTGGAACAGACCATACACTGCGGGTTCCAGCGCAGTCAGTTCGATAACGACCTCAAGAATATCCTTAAGAACGCGGGTGACTGGGACGGCCATCGCGGCGGCCGCAAAAAACCTGTCTCTGGACCGCAGGTCTCTGGCACCGTCCCGTCCCCGAGCTCTGGGGTTGACAGGCTGGGCGACTTGGAGCTCTCGGCTCTGGATTCCATGATTTATAAGGTCGAGACATCGAGTATGCTTGATGAGGATTAGGTTTTGTTATTATTTGACAATTTTTTAAATAGTTTTGTTATCCTTCTGTACATGGTTAACCTCATGTAGATTTTATATTTTTTACGTTCTGTTTTACACATTTGTTACCGTGTAGCATCTCAGTCTTGGACGCCATGGAGTTCGATATAACGGTGGAGTTGATACCTCTTCATCATTCCAAACCCACGGGATGTTTTTTTTTTTGCAATGGGTGGATTTTCAGTTAATTAAAATGATTAGTAAAAATTGCCTCATCTATAACTTTACAATGAATTTTTTTTCATTTTTGACCTAATGCTACCATTTGAATTAATTTTTTTTATAAAATTCCCGCCACTTCGCTATTGTGGGAAACGTACATTTTTTGACGATTCTCTTTATTCGTTGCTATGCAACGCAACGCATTGGTCTCAACAATATAATTTTTCTATTTGCATACTTGAATATTTCGAGAAAATAATCCCTAATGCTTTCGGGCGCCGCAATAATTACTGCAAGAATTATTAAAGATCTTCTTTAATAATAAATCATACCGAAATGCCCGATTTTTTCTTTTACCTCTGCGACTTCATTCAAAATGGTGAAAGTTATTATATAGTAAAATCTATGTTCTCAATGCTTCTATGATATAGTAAAAATACCACAAAGGTTACTCGAACTCTGCGAATTGTAGAAATAGAGGAGCAAGTGCGCTCTTGTACGCCTGAATCATCAAAGCGTAACACTCGCACTCGGTTTACTAAGAGCCAAAGTATCATTCCTAAGGGAATCAGGCTCTCAGTGAAGGTATCAGTGCTATCGTTTTGCCGACCGACATACGAGCAAACATCCTCAAAAAATCCGCCGGACATGAAAGATTGCAGCTTTGAAATTTTTCCCAACGCCTCTCGAGGTTACAACTTCCCGGCTTTGGAAAAACAAAAGAGTTGAGTTTTAAATAATTTTACCGTGAATGTCAGGGAAAATCGCCTTGCAAGAATATCACGATACCGAATCCCAGCCGTCGATCGGGTAAAAATGCGCATTATTTTTGATAGTTCATGTTCGAGATCGGTGAAGACAACGAGACTCAGTTGATTACAATGAAACAATTTGGCGCTTCAAAATACCTAGTTGATTACAGTGCTTGATTAAATTGTAATAACAGGTTCAATATACTAATAGCTTCTCAGTGGCATAAACTCAAATTGGCTCGTCATAGATGCCTGCTTATGATATTTGGTAAACTGTCCATAAATGTCCCGTATAAGGTCATTGAATTGATTTATCAGGGTAAATTCTACATTAATTTTCGATACTGCATCATGAACTCAATTTCTGATGTTTACCTGAATTATATTGGTCGTTTGATATGCTACAATTGATAACGCATTTGATCAGGACGGCGTCTGGCAGTCCATTAAACGGATCGTCTGTCGTTCTCATTTTAAACATTCGCGCAATAGTTTGAGGTTTAATAGCTTATCAGCGTGAAATTTATTTGATGTTAAATTGTGCGGCATTGATGTGTAATACTTTTGTTAACTCCACGAGAAAGATTTCTGGAAAAAACAACAATGACTAAGTCAATGCTTTAGATATATTCTTACAGGTAGCAGTCCCATAGTTGCATCGAAAGTCATCTAGATTCCAAACGTAAAACACAAAAAAAAAAATCGATCATTATTCTTTCTGCTTATAGGCGTACGATTCCTGTGCCGATCGAGCTTTTGAACGATTTCGAGTGAACAAGCACTTGACGAGCCGACAAAACACCGGTCAATTTACACTGTATTGACCCCTACTTCATTTACTGATGATTTTTGCTAGTCTTTTCTGATTCCAATCAAGCTTCTTTTCTGCTCGATAAAGAATCCACAACTGGACGCGCTCGTCCTGTCAAAAATACCGGCATCTACAAATGGCGGAAACGTAACATCGATTCGTCACTGTTTGCCGCACCTCTTGAATGATTGTTTGTAGCTCTTGCAATAAATTGTATGTCATCATTCACTTTCACGCGAAACTGTGACACTGCCGACAACATTCCAATATTCTTCTAACCATTCAATTCACTTAGACGTTGTATAAATTCTCAGTTGATATAAAAAATGAATTCTCAAGTTAGTAATCTACGAATAAGTCGATAATTCACGACTATAGCGTAAGATGCAAATTTAGTGTTCGAATCCTTGAAATGGAATTATTTGCTTCAGTTTCAAAAGAAATGCTTATTTTTCGACATGATATTGTGAGGTGTTTTCACACGTTTTTTCACTCTATGAATGCTTAATATGGGAAAAATATGAGCAGCAAAATGAAATTTTATGAATCTTACGCGTTATACTGTTACCCCAGGAGTTCAGTAAAAAAAGTTAATTAATTAATACCATTGACTAAGAATTGTGGTTCATGGGCCCTGAACAATTTCCAAATTCACGAAATTTAACATGTTTTTGTCAGACGTTCCAAGCATTGTATTAGTACTTTTAACATAAATAAGCTTAGTGTTCACCTAGAATTCAAAAGTAAATAAAACGTTCATTAAATATAGATTTAACGAATTAAATTTGCTTTTTTCAGCATTTAAAAAAGTTTTTGTTGTAGGATATTTTCCAGGGGGAACATTACTCCACGCAAAAGAGTGGCACGGACCGAAGCTTGCGCTCCCATGCCTCTGCCGGTGTGCAAAAGTTGAAGGCGCAATTGGGGCTTTTTGGCGCACTTTTGTGTTTGAGCGATGGTGGGGAAATTAATTAGCGCCGCCATCGCTGAAAGAAGCATCCTAAAAAGAATTATTGTAATTAGTTAATGCCTTCTCTGAAATTCGAGCGGCCATGCCAGCCAGCACAGACGTTCTTTTGTAGGTTGTGCGCATATGGTTTATAATGGAGGAACAACTATACACGTTATTTATGTCCGTATAACTTGTTTTAATTTAATCGATAGTAAATAGTTTCAGAGCTTTAATACTGGAAATTTTTATCGATATGAGAGCGATTTTATAGCACACTCGATTAATTACTCGATTTTTTTTTCCGAAATTAGCTGGAATGTTTTACTGAATTCAACGAAGCGTCTCATTAAGCATCTCAAACCACGGAATTCACAATCGAATTAAGCCTTAACAATTGAATTATAATTTATGTAATTGCAATTAATTAATTTCATGTTGTATATCTGTTTAGAACAAATCTGTTTTATACAGATATGATGGTTTTATATCTGTAATTTTTCATCTGTATATATGATCGATTTATATCTGCATATTTCTTCACGATCATGTTATGCAGTATCCTTCCCGTTGCATTTTATTAATGTTTTTCCGTATACACTTCAGAACGTCCCTGAACGTACGTGTCTCTCTTAAGAACGTCCCTGAACGTACGTGTCTCTCTTAATTAATGCAAATAAATTTTTCCAGTTGCCGGATAAAAATCGCGTTTGTATTTTTTCTCGCAGCGGAGAAAGAGACTTCGCGATGCTCGGCAGTGAAACCAATAAAGTTTATTGAAGCTAAACAAATTCAATTAAGACTTAACAAGTTTTCCGTTCGCCAATAATAGACAGAAATATGCATCATCATGTACGCTCGCGTGGATATACATTGTAGGTTCTCAATGTTTATTCATGTTATACGCACACCCATCGTCCATCATTCATGTCTGTTGTGTACACGTAGAAAAATGGTTAGGTCACGTTGTCCTAATAAAGACATTACTGCCGCTACAAACCGGGTAACGATGATTTACAAAGGTAAAATCGGTATTAGGACGAAGTTTCACTTATTTCGTTGAGTGTATAGTCGGGGTTTTTTTCTCTGGCGCTATTAAATTAATTACAGCAAAAATTAAATGAAAAAAACGCAGTAGGTGACTGTTTTTTTCATGTACGCTCGCGTGGATATACATTGTAGGTTCTCAATGCTTATTCATGTTATTATACGCACACCCATCGTCCATCGTACATGTCTGTTGTGTACACGTAAAAAATAGTTAGGTCATGTTTTCCTAATAAAGACACTACTGTTGCTACAAACCAGGTCACAATGATTTGATCCAGGTCACAATGATTAAAATCTGTATTAGGATGAAGTTTCTTATGATTTACACAGAGATAAAATCTGTATTAGGACGAAGTTTCATTTATTTTGTTGAGTGTATAATCGTTTTTTTCTCTGGCGCTATTAAATTAATTAGAGCAAAAATTAAATGAAAAAACGCAGTAGGTGACTGTTTTTTTAATTGCAATAAGTGTTTATCCCGCGTATAGTTGAAGGTGATAATAATCATTTTAAAATAATGTGTTTATACGGCGCAACATAAAAATTATAATATTCTTGGCCAGCAAATGAATTTTTGAAACGAATTAAATACAACTTTTTCTAACATTGAAAACGGCATTTCTCATTTTGTATGACATTGAATGCACGTAACTACACTTTAAACTTTGAAAAGTTATCCCGGCATTTTCATTGTTTTCGTTATTTTTTTGGTATTTTGAATATTGTGCGAATTTGACAGCACCGAAGATAAATCTATGCTTGACTTAAGATAAATAGATAATTGAAATGATCTGACTGTAAGATAATTGAATTATCTTACAGTCAGCATACAAAGGATTACCGCTTTGTGTACCGATACGATACCCATGCATGCTTGGTAATGAGAATTACCGTCCATAGACTCATCCCAATGCAATTAACTTCGTTTCTGACAATATGATCCATTAATTGTCCTGAGTGAGAGGGCTTTGCCTCTCCCCTCGTGAGGGTAAATATTTTTATGAATACCAATAACCAAGATGGCGGCAGTCGCGATGGGAACCTCGTCTCAATAAAAAAGATATTGCAATCCTAAGCTTTACGCAAAAATATGTATTTTCGTAGCGTGAGCTTTGTGTATGATTTGATTAAGATTGTATGTCAGCTATTTACTGACAACGGGGAAGATCGGGTTCATTAATTTGTTTATGAAGAGTTTGTAAGTTCCTAAAGTTGTAATATTTGTGTGGATGAGATTCCATCAGGGACATAATATGTTATTAAGTTAAAGCGTATGTTATTTATCACCATATAATACATTCATTTGTTTTATATGTTGCAACAGCCTATGCCGCAGTTGTAATTCTTTAATCCAAGCTTTAATTGTACATATTAATAGATTTTAATCATTCTATTACTGACTCCGTCCTATTTCATGGATAAAGTACGCAAAAATTTATCTCTATTTTAGTTATAAACATTTTTATCCTCAGATGTTCAAAAAATAAACGAATTCGCAAAGTAACCTTTCGGCATCACGATTTTTCGAGCAGCTAGCTGCCTACATTTCAAATACATCTGTGCTAAAATACATCATAATACAACATCTTTCTACATTACACAGACAATTCCTCAATTTCAAAACAAATATTTTGTATCAAAAATTTTTTAATTGCACTGCAAATTGCACAGTAAAAGCGGCAAATGTACAACAAGTCTCCATATAGCAGAGCAGCGGCAGCATTAAGGGCGGGGGTTTGGTTCCCTAGGGACAAGGGGTCGAATTATACTCTGGGCTT